ACATATTTGGCGTAATGCCATATGCAACTTATTTAAGCATCATCCTGCTTCCTATTGTGAGTTTGGGTAGTCTATCATGGGATAAACTAGCAGAGATTTCCACAGCATTCACACTAGGACTCTGCAGTATTAGTTTTATTGTCGTTACTACAATAGTACACAGTCATAGAAATTCATATGCATCGGTCACTTGACTTAACTTTCAAATGCAGAAAATCTACGGGTTTTTATGTCCTCTTTGATGTTTAATGTTCGTTTTAAGACTATTTTCGCACTTCTTCGTTGGTGTCGCTCCTCTTTTCCGCCTTCATCTTCAACCTTTTACCGCGATTTATTACTCCTCCCCTCTGTGGTAAGTGAAAATGAGACTTGACAAATAGGATACAAAATTTTCGCACGCCACTTGACTAGATGGTCGTTCCTGAGAATTTACTAGAAATTGACAATTTGATGTGAGTATAATGCATCTGTAGTTACCCATTTTTGCTAGTCTGCATGTGCCACCATCCGCAAGAAATTGGTTAAATACTTTGAGTTTACTTTTGGGTTAACAGACATTTCAAAACATGCTGTGGACCTGAATGACAAGGGTGCGAAACGCGGTTCTGCCGGAAAATGGGAAAGCCCAGACGCGTCCAATAAGGGAACTGCGGTAAATGGGTCCTTATGAGTGGAGATGTGCGAAAACGGTGAAGAATAGGTGAAAATTAAAGGGAAAACGTAGGTATTTAAGGTAAACATGCAAGTTTGTTTAAATGGGTGCTAACGTCCCAGTGTAAACTCCCAACACGAAAATTCATCGAAGGTAACCCTTAAAAACCAATTACACGAAGAAAAGCGGCGACTGATCTGTCAAGATCATTGGATGTGAGCCGCCAAAGAACGTGAACAATCAAACTAATTTGCTGGGGAATTGGGTGCCGAATAAATGCTTTGTCCTAAACCCTAGCCCCTTACCTTAAACCCTAACACCAACCTCAAGCCCGAACCCTATTCCCAAACATAGAGACCAAACCCTAACGTAATTGTGAATCGAAATCGCCCCAGTACTAGAAGCACATTAAACAAAAATCATTAGTTGTATGAAAGTGAAAATTTTGTCCAATTACTGATATCAATAACAGTACGACAGAGACTTGTGCGAACTTACTACAGGATGCTGCCTTCGAAAAAGAGCTATTTAATGGCCTGTTGTTTCTCCCCTGTATTTAAAGAATAATGACAGCGTCCAAGAGGTTCTATAATAAACCTATTCCATTCCATTGTTCATTATTAGGTGAAAACTGATGAACCATGAGACTGGCCATTATATTGTTTACCTATGTGGTTAGTCCGTTTTATGAAATTTTTGTCCTCTAAATTCTTGATGACCGCCTGATAGGTTTCTTTATTTAATTCTATTCCTCAAGGTCCTTGCCAACTTATTCTGCCACTGGACTTATGGTATATATATTGTGAACAATAAATTTGTCTCTATTCAATCGTGGGTCATATTTTGAAACTTACGTCACATTTGGTGTTGGCCTACCACCCTGCATCTCATATGTTCGAAACTTTTGGTAATAAAGTTCTTGTGTTCGTATAATTTCTTATCCCTATGCGAGGTCGACATCTAATGAACTTAGTTTGTTTCATGAACATCGACTATGCTGTCTTTCTCACTATTTAAAGCAAGCATGGACAACAGAATTCCACGGTCTTCTAGTACAAAGCATCTCGTTGACAGTGGCCATTCGGTTGACCCCAAAACGTCTTTTCGAGTATTAGTTCGAGCACGAACTACTCGGTTATTGCGCTACCTGGAGGCAGCCAATATACGGCGTGAGAAACCCAACCTATGTAAACAGTTAGACCACGTGGTTAAACTCAGCTTGCCCTGGTAGACCTGAGCCCTCTTGATTTTCGAAATCCCTCGGCATGTTTACTTCCCTATTTTCTTTCCTATGTTGCGTTTTTAAGTTACCATTTTATTGACTAGTCTACGCGCAGTATACGTCGACCTTGCTGTTTTACCTTGACTTTCTCTGTTGAAATTCAAACGTCTGTACCTTTCTCACTTGTTATTTGTGTTATGCAACGACAGGCCGCAGTTGAGAAGTCGTCGCGAAATTTACTGGTACCAATAAATTCTGTTGTCCATGCTTGCTTTAAATTCATTCCGGGGAAATATTGCTTCAAGTTTCTCACTGTTATCCATTACCTGAACGTGAGCAGGCGCTTGCTCTATAACTTTCAGTTCCTTTGTGCTCGACGGCTGGCAAACCGAAAAGCCTAGCCGCCTATCGTAAAGGGCTATCAGTCCGACCTGTTTTCGTAAAGAGGTTTTTTAAACTGTCTCCTAAATTCGGCATGTTTCTTTAATACTCCTTTAATACAGCACTGAGAAGAAAGTGTCCATAAACCCATAGGTCTGCTATTAATTTCAATAGGTGCAATGGTACCAAAGATCGGTAGTTAATTTTGTTGAAGTCAAGATATTTCTACTACCCTCCTGCAAGACCGTACTTTTCCCTTTGAGTAACCCCAGGAATCCTGCTGCCATGATGACCATCTTGTAGGTAGTCGTAGTTTTTACGTGAACACCAATTAATGGGAATTATCATGGGCGACTCAGCAGGGTGGGTAGTTGAATCTAAGCTCTCTGGCGAGAAAGATGGTTCTCAGTTCACTATGCTCTGCCAAGTTAACCTAACTCTCTGAAAAACTATCCCACCATCGATTGGAGTGAAGCGCCAGTATCCCACATACCCACGGAACAGCATCGGTGACTGAGTGAGGATTACTATACATTCAGTCTCGTCGACATAGTGCAGACAATTATTGGAAATATTATTCATGGTCGAGTGGGCAAATTCCTGGACAGTCAAAACATAAAAGAAGACAACAACATGGCATTTTAAGGAGTGATCTCTTCGCACTACGCACCTCGCCATAACGGAGAATCCGATCACAGATGTAGAGTGTGAGATAGCTTTAAATGCCACGTTTCTATATTTCATCAACAAGTTTGGCATAGATAACTACCGTATTTTACTTATGACCTTCATCAATATGTTCTGAACAGAAAGGTAATGAAGTGGATTATGCATTTTCGCCCGAGTTTTCGGCACATAGCAGTTTCCCCCAAAAGTGTCTGTGTCCAGATCGATACTGTTTCTCACCACGATTCTTGACAAATCAGTTACTGATTCCAGGAGCTGCCTTCAGGTTTTTGACAACACTGAGATTCTGAGGCAGTCATGAGACCTCGTTTGATCCAGGAAGATTGTGATTAAGATTTGGCGTGGACCGATCAGGCTGCGAAAAGCGGAATTGCCACATTATCACAAGTAACGGAATTATACTCAGAAATGCACCCAAATACGCCACCAGGAAATTAACCCACGCTGTCATGTTTGTCGGCCACCTACCTTTGCATTATTACTTCTATCAGACGAGTACCGAAGGAGTGGATTGTAAAAGTTAAAGCCCCAAAAAACTCTCGCTGGTCGATGGGTGTTTACACAAAATCACGAGGCAAAACATTCGGATATACTACGCTACAGGCAGAGGTAGCGGAGACATGAACGGCCATATCTGGCCTATTAGCCGTTGTTAGCCAGTTATACCCAACCGTGGGGTGGGGGGTACCCGGGGTTCGATTCAGACAGAACAATGGGCACGTGGTTTGGTGGTTAAGGGCGTTGGACTTCAAACCAACGGCTCGTTGGATCAAGCCCCAGGTGCTTCACACCGCAGAGTTAGGTATGACTGGCTGACAATGGCTAAAAGGCCAGAAATGACAATTCCAGACTCCTTTGTCTTTATCGATAGTGTAATTCTGCCCATAATACGCACCACTGTGCGGCCACTGACTAGGTTTGAGTGATTACCCCAAGGCACAACGGAAGGAGCTAGTTCCGGAACACGATCATTAAGTGCCCATCTGCAATTCTATGCTATGTTAATTTGGTTACAACGCAAATACCACCATTGATCGAGTCTCAATGATTTGTCTGTGACCTTTGGAGCGAGGCAGCCCATCAACATGTTTAATTCGGTGTCTTAGTTCGGAAGAATATTTGAATATGTACTATCTGCCCAGTCTGTAAACAGATAAAAAATCTTATGAGAAGAACAAAGCTAATGTGATAGACTGTGTAAGGTATTAATTATTTGCGCAAAATTGTCGGGGACGGCCGCGGAAACATAGTTTAGACCACGGGTGAGTGTACTAGTTACACAGGATATTTTTTGGCAGCATGTCATAAAATCCCAAACGAAATACCTGAAAGATGTTATCCTCCCTCACCCATGCAGATGATGTCATAGACGTTATGATTGCTGGTCGGCGCCAGGTTTGTGGTGCCGACTGGAAAGGAAATAAGTAGATCCAATCGTAAGCCAGCAGACTAAAGTAGCTTGCTGTCACTGGTGTTGCCCATGATCCACCGCATGAAAATAAACGGGTTATTGGCTTGCTCTTACTTTTTTGTGTTGTGTGCCTGTTTTTGCAATTTCCTCATTTTTCAGCACTGTCTTCTGCCCGACCTAATTTTTTATGTTTAATCGACTACAGTCGAAATAAAATTTATTTGTTCAGCATTTTTGTTTCTCAGATCAATCCTGCAGATCGATTATTTTAGCTCTAGTTGTAGCGCTTTCGATCACTGTCATTACCCATCTGCTTTTTGGCTGCCATTGGCCTTATTTCCGCCATTCACGCCCAGCATCCCAAGCTCGGTTTGGACCATGCATCTGCACAGTTTCGTACAGGAAGGCAACAAGATATTGGCGAGTTTTATGAAGTGTCAACACTTTCTCCCTTCGACCAACGGAAGCTGAATTGCAAATTGCACTGGATGATAGATCTAACCAATCAACTTTTAACACAAGGGCTAGTGCGCGTGTCGTTCTGATTTATCGTAGTTTGCAAGGCGATGGCCGTCAACTGGATGATGATGCGAGCTGGAGTATTACTGCTTATACTCTTTTCCTCTTCGTGTTATGGAATTAGCACGATGGCCATAGATCTGGGCAATAATTTTTGCAAACTTGCGGTCGTTTTGGTATGTTGGTATTTTTTAATGACTCGTAAATGCAGCCCGGTGTTCCAATGGAAATCGCCTTGGACAGGTAATATAACATACTTAATGGTCCACCTATAGTGCTTCTGAGCGAAAAATAGCAACGCTAGTTGTCATTAAGAAGGACAAACGAATCTTTGGGAACGCGGCTGTTCCAAGCGTACGTTTTCAAATTAGCACATCATTGGGATTTTTGGCTACATATGTAGACAAAACACATGTTTTCGTTAACTTATAAACTTCTTTAGCAGGCTAGATTCTTGCATTTATAAAAGAGTGGCTGTCGTTATCCACGGAGTGGAAGCATGCTTCTTAATTTTTTTCCTGATCGAAAAATATCTTTCATGCATCACCTTTCCGCTTTTGAGGAGTTTGCTCACTTTCTTGCCGTCTTACAATGAAGTCGCCAACCTCACTTCCATTGTTACTTACACGTTTATAGCCGACAAAGTGACTTTGTGTCTGTGCTCTTTTCGAGACGTCGATATTTGCTTTATGTGACATCACACCCGTTCACCTCGTTTTCATTTCGCTTTGTAATTCCGAGTCTGTTATGCCCATTTTTGGTTTTCTTTAGGCTAAGAGAGACCCTATAACGGCGTTTGCTGATCTTCCTTCAATTGTGGGCAAGAAACTTGACCACCCAGCAGTGAAGAAGTACCAAGAGCGTTACCCTTATCACAGCCTGAGTTATAACAATTCAAACGGATTACTAACCTTCAGCGTCGAGTAACTTTTTTTCTCTCCGGCACATCTGCTTTTAGTGGACAAAATTTCGCCGCGGAAGAACTTCTGGGCATGTTTTTCGAGTATCTAAAAGATACCGCTGAAAAATACTCCGGTACGCTTTGGTAGCATTTTTTCGAACCCATTTGATTCGGATTATTGCATTTACTATTTGCATTTGGTATGACCACGTTTGTTTGATTGTCTACATATTTGCATTATACTGATTTTTTAAAATCATTTTTAAGGGCATGGATGTTCTTCGAAAATGCCAACTCTTCTAAGAGTTTAGTATGTTTTGTCTGGTAGTATTTTGTTACATACCTTCATTTGCCACCTCTGTTGTCATTTCACCAATGCTGCATAGTTACTACGAACATCGACAGTATGTGATGTTTGTGGAACTTATGGTTGTGCGCAGCGGAAAAGAAAAAAAATATATATATAGCTATTGGTCCACAAACTATCGTTAGAATTACCTCTGAAAATGCCGTTACTGGGTTACGGTGCAACATTGAATAAAGTCAAGACAGAGTCATGTCCAACTTTGTTCATTTGAACCCTGCTTTCATCTTCCGTGCGTCATACAGGTGCTCCGATGAACACTGCTGTGATCACTGTGCCGAGCCACTTTACCCAGTCAGATCGTCTTGCTATTCTCCGTGTTGCCGAGCTTGCAGGTATCGAGGTTCTGCAATTGATGAACAGTAACGCTGCTGTCGGTCTTAATTACGGCGTCTTTCGTCGGAATTCATTTGACTCCAACCCCCAGAACTTCCTGTTTTTCGATGTGGGTTTCCTCGGAACCACAGCAACCGTAGTTTGTACGTACTTCTGCATTAGCAGGTTTTAATTTGTATATCTTATCGTGTTCTTTCGCTGGATACTTTTGTTTCGAAAAATACTTTCTGATTATCGGATATTTCAGGACCATCTTCAATTTTTACACGTTATGAGTACACCTGCCAATTCAAAGTATGTCCAAAGGGGTGTCTCTAATTTTCAAAATATGAAAATAAGCTTTTACTTAATGAAACCTATATACGTAGTTACATACCAACGGGATCAACAGGAGTAGGCGTTATTTTTCTAACTTAAATTTTCGTCTTTTAAAAATTTGGAGCCCGATGAAGTAGCCAAGTCGCCCTAAGTTTGTGAGGGACAGAATACGAAAGATGCTTTGGTTGTAAACGTTAACTCACCTTCCGTAAACCGCCTACTTAGAGACATGATTTGTCTGCGACGGATAGGGACATGGATACTTTTGGTGACCACCGATTTAATTGGCTTTTTTGATTCGCCACAGAAATTATTGAGTGAACTTTCACAAAACTGCGCAATCTGGGCTTTTATGCAATCTAATCCACCCTTGTCAACCTTAAGCCAGTATAGCATTTAGTCCTTTTCCTGAATCGGATCAGCCTCAAAGTTGCGACAGACCATTTGCTCGAAATTCCTTTATTCAGAGTGCTCTTTGAAAAACCTACATGAGCGCTAATACGTGTTCCACTGTCACCGTAATGTTGCCACTAACTTCTTAGTCCTTCCAAACGCAACCTCTCAATAATTGTATTTGCACTGAGCGCTTGAAAGGCACTGTAATGCAATGTCTGCGGAGCATCTCCCAGTCATTCGATTGCGTCTTGTTTTGAAGGACTTACATCAACTCCCCGGTGGAGTGCCGTTTTTAAGGCCTTGCTGTTTTATTTTTCTCGTAGCCTACAAAGTGACTAAAAGTCGAGAGGGTGACATACTGGAAGAAAATCCGCACATGTTTATTCTGGGAGTGGGGTAAGCACATCTATCCTCTGTTGGAAAAATCTTTGTAAACAGTTGTTGTTGTTTTATGAATTTATTTTTAATTGAAATTTTGCAAATATGATAGACTTTAAACAACTACCAAACAAAGTCGGTATGCTTCTCTGGGTTTTCAGAAGATTCGATTTGACTCCCTTTCCACGAACGCACTCACCTATAGCAAACTCGTCTGACGTGTTCATTGCATTTCACGCTCAGCAAAGGGTTAGATTACTCGTAAGACCCTAAAGATCACCTGATCGGCTGCTTATTTCGGAATGTCTAAGTGAGCTCGGAGTAGGGAGTTAACAAAAAGTAGCTCTGCAGTTTCGTCACCGACCCGCCTAGGCATGGATTCGGACACTTGTACATCTTGCATTCTTAAGTGCCAAACCAGCTGCCTATCTCATTTGCGTGGAGTATGCCTCAATAAGATGCCGTCTGGTAAGGAGTTCCTATATATACCTAATAAAATTTCCATCATGCCATATCTGACTGATTTAAGTGATGTTGCACATAGTACTTCTGCTTGCCTGATGATCAGCGGTTTCGGATCTGGAGGGCGCGACTCACCCTCCTCTTCAGCCATAAAGACCGGCTAACGGTTTTAAGAAATACTTCCATATCTCGCCAGACTGTTTCGAGAGAAGTATTAATCATACGTCTTCGCCACCTTCAGGTTGACAACGACATCAGATTTAGAACAGCAATCCTAAGTTTATAAAGCGAACGACGGAAAATTTGCACACCACTTGTGGCCGATGCTGTTGTCCAAACAGGTTCTTATGGGTTCCGGCTTCGGAAGTACGAATTATCTGACGTTTATACAGTTAGTAGCTCTGTTTTAGAGAGATTTTGATACAGGCTCTTCCCGCGCCTTCTCCTAGCTAACGTTTAGAGCAGTTTGTTTGATGTGGTCGCTCAGGTTTATTTTTGGCACACACGCAACCTCTGACATCAGTACATTGGACCAATCGTGGCGCACGAACGAATGTGGTACTTCATGAGACCAAATAAGCATATGTTTCGTGTTCTGAAGCTTACACTGGAAGGGGGTCTGAACGTTTGTTGAAGGCGTCTTCCTCATCCCTCCCTTCCTTCCCCCGCTCTTTCCTCCTGTATCCCTGTTTGACTGTCATGCGAATAACACTGGCCGCGTTTGTTTCGTCTACGTTTTCAGGAGTGATCCATTTTTGGGCACCAGCGATTTTATCGGCCGTCTCTTAAACCATTTCGTGGAGAAGTTCAAGGCCAGCAACCCAGATTTGAAGGGCGATGTGAGGAAGAATCCAAGGGCCATGGCTAAGCTGTCGGTGGAGGCTCAGAGGATCTTCAAGATTCTCAGTGCCAATCCTGAAATTTATGCATCGGTAAGCTTTTTCAGTACTTTTTGCCTTTCTGCAAAGTTGGTTTACGTCTTTGCGCGTTTTTAAAAACTAGAAGATATAACTCCCCTGAGTAAAAAAGTTTAAGGAAACCTAATCTACTACAAATGAGTGTAAGAAGGAGTACTTGTATGCATTGCTTAAATAACCTATGCTTAGATTTATAGGGACATTAAAAATCAATGGGAAAATCCACATTACTGAAGGGGTCATCTTTAGCGAATGCGCTTTCCATAAATGGCCGGAAAGACGTGCATTCAAAAATGGCCATCCTGTCGTGTTGCAACCTCACTTAAGTAAATCTTTTCGAAATTGCATTTTGGAATTTTAGCTAGCGTTTCACGAGTTACGACACCCACTTTAGTTGCGAGTATGGGATCGATCGAGTAAGCACGAGTTTCTAAAAATTTTCACAACTGCTGGCTTTTCCTAAACCGGGACTTTTTATGAAAATACATCCCCAAAGTGGCACAGGAAGTGAAGTTTTTGTGCGCCACCACCACCACCACCACCACCACCACCACCACAACAACAACAACAACAACAACAACATAATCATCCTCCCACCCACCTCTGTTGTCCTTTTCTCTGCAGGTTGAGAACGTCATGGAGGGGCGCGATTTCAACCTCCGAGTGCAGCGCAGCGAACTAGAAGCCATGTGCAGCGATCTTGTAGAACGAATAAGGAAACCCATCAGCACCGCCATCGAGGTAGCAGCCGTGCCCCTCGACAGCATCCAGAGCGTCATCCTGTTTGGAGGTGGAACTCGTGTGCCTATGATTCAGGCCGCACTGAAAGAGCTTACCGGAAAGTGAGTTCTTTTTCTTTCACCGGTTGTTTTACCATGTATGATATCGCATCGAAAGATGTCCTATAGAGCTACAGATGTAAAAGTGGTACTCGCTGCTAGATAATAGTCAACCACCAGATGGACGCAACTACAAGCATAATATCGCAAGATTGGATTTAACCACGTGAAGGGGACGCTCGTTGACTGCGCTAGTCATTTTGTAGGGCTCAGCGAAATCTGCAGCGGCAACAGCGGCCTGTAGCCGATGGTTGATACTTTCAGAAATTTTGCCAAACCTTCCAGAACACTTTTAATGATCTGAAGTACAGGACTAAATACGCCCCCCCCTCTGCCTCCGGTCTTATTGGCTCTGTCTTGACACTGGGTCCAGGTGAGGGAGTGGGGAAGAGAGAGAGAGAGTGAGAGTACGGTAGATGCTGTGCAAGTCTACTATCACTATAAACTAATTAACGCGCAAGTCACCGTACCTGCTGTATCTTGTTGTGTAACCCACGGTGGACATCGTCGGAACTGACGGTCGAACTGTCGTTGATGGTCGGCTCAACGTGAACAGCGACGCAGACCGCTTCGATGGACGCGGTCCGCGGAATGCGGATTTCCTTGTTAGTCCTGGTAATAATGGCTAGCACTGTCAAGGAAGTCCAGATGCAGTAGAATGAATGACTTTCCGTGGTTGGTGTCAGTGTGTCTTGACAGTTTTGTTTCTTTCCGCGGCTTTTTATTTGTTTCGGGCGCAGATGCAGATGGTTGCTAATAAAACAATATTCAACTTCGGGGTTGCATTTTGGGTCTCATACTGGTGATTACAAGGCCGTGATCCGTACAGCAGTGGATACCACACACTGCCTTATTATTTTATTTATTATTTTGAAAACCCTATTGTCAGTACGGTAGATACAGCTGTGCGCACACGGTGAACATTGTTACTATAAAAAGGGTACTTACATGGTTTAAGTAGCATTGTTTTTAAAATAACATTTTGGGGTTCACGGAGCATTTAGCTCAGGTTCGGGCAGCCCTTGTCACGAGCAAGTCATGTTGGTCACGTCTCCAAAAGATGACGTTGTCCAGCAGTTGCTAGTGATGCGTGCGAGGGTGCACATACGTCTTATTCTCTTGGATCGGAAGGCGGAAGAACGTGTTGGTCAGGGGCAAACTGTGTTCGGTGCATGTCCGCAGTAAAAGTTCATTGTTGTTACGGAAGCTGATACCGTGACGACCGCGCAGTCTTTCCCAGGCAGCGTGGTCTGTGTTAGCGCGAGCATTAAGGTCACCAAGGAGAATCAGTTTTTCCGCCTTCGACACTGTCGCTGGAAGAGCGTAGATGTCCTCGTGGAGTTCGCTGTATGGCTATTCCGGGGTACTGGATTTTAACTGCATGTCTCTGCGTTCATCCACTAAAGTCATAATCACCAGAAAAAAACTCTTTATTAGTTTAGTTTGCCGATTTTCGACTTCGACATAAGTCCAAATATATTTTCCAGAAAGCATTCACTAAAATACTCTTTTCACGTTCGTTTTGTGGCAACTTACATCTTCTGAGTGAGGAAATAATGTCTTTCTGCCTTAAGAGTACTTATGATTGGGAGAACTTCTCGAGATCGTGAAATTTTTATTCAAGTGA